CAAATTATACCAATTTGCCAAAATTGCAGTTAGATAGGGGTAATATTATAGAATGGAGCCAGCAATTAAGAGTTGCTCTCATGAGAGAGAATGCACTGTTCCTAGCTAACAGACCTCCCCAAAAGCCCTGGTCACTGGAAATTGACTGCATTCATCACAGGGCATTTTGTATCATGTTAACTTCCATTCCATCTGCTATGTATCCATCTATTGAGGACAATCTAACTGTTTATGATATTATGTAAAAACTATGTAACCTGTTTTATAGCCAAAGCAGAGCCACTACCACTAGACTATCTAGGGAGTTCCACTCCACCAAGCATAAGGCAGGGGTCCCCATGAGTGAGCACATCTTAAAAATGAATGCTGCAAGGGCAGAACTCATGCAGAGGGGGGAAATCATCACTGAAGAGAGCATGATAAGCATAATCATAAACTCTCTTGATAGCAGCTGGGACATCTTCATGACCCAACTAAATAGCCTCAACTTGCAATACCTCACACTAGGCGCACTGACCAGTCAGCTCGTTGCAGAGGACACTCTGAGGAGGGAACGCCAACTAGCCAAAGGGGACCCTAGACCCACAAAGAGGGTGGATTTCCAGGATAGGGCCAGGGATACCTCAGAATGTTATTCTTGTGGATCAAGGAACCACTTAAAGAAGGATTGCCCCAGGAACCATAGGGATAGGGGACAGCACGACAGTAGAGGGGGAAGGTCACCTGAACGCAGGCACCCAAAGGAAAGAGGGCGAGGGTGGTCACCCAACCCCAGGAAACACCACGAGCGCAGAGACCACTCCAGGGACAGTAACTCTGGCTCCATGTATGGGATCAGGCACGATGACCCAAATGACAAACATAGGGCAGAGAGAAACACATGGCTCCTGGACTCAGGGGCCACAAGCCACACTACTTGTAACCCAGAGCTGCTAGACTCACTCACCGAAATAGACTCAGAAATAAAGGTGGCAAACCAAAGCAAGGTCAAAGTAGTGGGGAAAGGAAACATACACATCACACAGGTAGGGGACCTAAAAGGAGTACTGTACGTACCAGAAATTCCCCACAACGTGCTAGCCATCACAAAGCTGACACGAGACACAAATATAGAAATAAAATTTAAAGATGGAAAGGCACACTTGATCAAGCAAGGGAAAGAGATAGGAAAGGTAACCATACACGAGGGGCTTCCCTACTTCACACCCCATGCAAGGGAGGAAGAAGGCATTGATGTCAGCACAAACCACAAGGTAGATAAGTATCCAGAAACAGAGGGGGTGCAGCAGGAGGCAGGATGTAGCCATGAGAAGACAAACAAGTCTGTATGTATCGGCAAGCCATTGCATGATAACTGCGCCCACCTCCTCCACAGGAGACTGGGACACATAAGCTTCCCCATTGTAAAGAAAATGACGGAATGTACCGAAGGTCTCAAAGTAAAGAACTGCGAAAACTACTTAGAGTGTTCAGTTTGTAAGCGTTCTAAGATCAAGGTTAAGGCCATCCCCAGGGGATCCAAATGAACCACGGAATACCCCTTCCAATTGGTGCATATGGACTTGGTAGGGCCAATGAAACCCTCTGTAGGACATAGGAAGCGATTCTTCCTCACGATTGTGGATGACTACACCAGATACGGGTATGTCTACTCCCTCAGACACAAAAACGAAGTGTTCCAAAGGTTTAAGGAATTCCACAGAAGAATAGATATGCAACATAACATGAGAATAAGGCAGATAATGACTGATAGGGGCTCAGAATTCATGGCCAAAGAATTCACAAGGTGGCTGAGGGAGCAGGGCATAGCGCATTACACCTCTTCACCTTTCTCCCCCTTTCAAAATGGAGTCTCAGAGAGAAAAAACGGAATGTTGCAAACCATGATGAGATGCGCCCTGGAGGATGCTGGGATGGGGCAGCATTTCTGGTCAGAGGCATTACACTACGCTAATTACACCCTGAATAGACTGTGGTCAAGCTCTATCAATAAGACACCATACGAGATGCTATACAACAGAAAGCCCAACATTGCACACTTACACATATTCGGCGCCCCAGCTGATGTCCACATTCCCAGACAGCTAAGAAGAAAAGGGGAGAAATTATCAAAAAGATTGAGGTTCGTGGGTTATGAACCGGGCACAAAGGGCTACAGATTTGTCGACAACAATAACCATTTTGTGGTTTCCAGATCAGCCAGTTTCCACGAAAACGCAAACTGGTCGAGGGTACACTCCAATGACATCCCAGCCAATAGGGTCACGTTCGAGCATGGCCAAGGGGAAAGGGAGGTCAGAGAGGTCACAGGGCACAAAGCCAACCATCGCAAGGCAAGCGTCAAAGGTTGGAAAGAAGGGCACCCTTCACTGAAGATAGATGACCTGACGGACAAAGAGGCAGACATCATGCAGGAAACCGAGCCAACCCCCAGCAGGCCAATCAGAGAAACCAGAAACAAGCTACCAAAGAAGTTAGAGGACTATGTTATGACCATCCACAACACCCATTTCACGCCCAGCTCATATGAAGACATCCTCGGGCTCCCCCGGGAGAGAAAGAAAAATGGATGCTTGCCATGGAAAAGGAGATGGAAAGCCTAAGGAACCTCCAGGTATACTCACCTGCCCAAGTTCCAGAGGACAAAAAACCAATAGGAACCAAATGCGTGTTCAGGGTTAAGACATTAGAGGACAACAAGGTCCTATACAAGGCAAGACTAGTCGCGCAGGGTTTCATCCAAAGATACCCCGAAGACTATACGGACACCTACTCGCCAACTGTCAGGGCGGAGAGCGTCAAAAGCGCCCTGGTGGTGGCCACCATCCTGGGCTTGGAGGTCTTCCAATTCGACGTACAAACAGCGTACTTGCACGCCGAGCTGGATAAAGAAATATACGTCAAAGCGCCGCCTGGGTACAACAAAGGCGAGAACCAAACCTGGCCGCTGAATAAAAGCCTGTACGGGCTCAAGCAGTCGGGCAAAAGGTGGTATGACTGCTTGGCCAAGGCCCTCAGAGCCATGGGCTTCGAGGCCACCTCAGCTGACAAATGCTTTTTTACGAGGAGAGAAAACAACACATTCGAAGGTGTGCTCGTTTACGTGGACGACATCTTGTACATCAGCAAACACAAGAACAGGTGTGACAAGTTCGCCACTGACCTGGGTAGCCACTTCTCCTTAAAGTCACTTGGAAAGATTGACAGATACCTAGGGGTCCAAGTGATAAAAACCAACAAGGGCTTCCGCCTCTCCCAGAGAGAAAAGATCATCGAGCTGCTGTCCAAATGTAACATGTCCGAAGCAAAACCCAGCGAGACCCCCATGCAACCCGAGTTCCTGAAGACCATGTATGAGGAATCTGAACCTTTCACAGACAACAAACTGTATAGATCAACGATAGGGTCACTGCTGTACATATCCAACTGGACCAGGCCCGACATCGCCTTAGCCGTCAACCTGCTGTCCAGGCATGTAAGCAAACCCACGGTAACACACTGGAACGCCATCAAAAGACTACTTAGATACTTAAAATTCAGTGCGGATGCCCTACTCTGCCTAGAACCAGAAACATCCGAGGAACCAAAGCTAACCTGCTATGCTGACGCTGACTGGGCTGGGGACGTAGAGTGCAGAAAAAGCACCTCAGGCTACGTGCTACTACTCAACAATTGCCCCATCCATTGGTACACTGGAAAGCAAAAACTGGTGGCCACATCAACTACGGAAGCAGAATTTGTTTGCCTATCAAAGGCCGCAAACAATCTAGTATGGTTTGATGACCTGCTCTGCGACATCTGGGCTGAACCCTCATATCCAATAGTTATCCACGAAGACAACAAGGCAGCGATAGAGATCTCTAGGGCCGATGCCATAGGTCAGCGTTCTAGGCACATTGACATTAAATACAAACACGTCAGGCAGTTTTCAGAGATAGGTTTCATTAGGGCAGTGCACTGTGACACAGAGGAGCAAACAGCAGATATTCTCACTAAACCCCTACCACATAAACAACATGCTTACCTCATGTCAAAAATGCGTGTTTGCTTGTAATTCATGCCTGTACCAGTGTATTCTCTGTATGTATGCAAACACCGCCTCAGGTACCCAGTTAGGCATTTAGAGGGGTTTTTGTCATGATAAATGCCTAACTACTATGTCTCCCTGATCACCCGGACCTTCAAGGGTTAACTAACCACATATCCCATAATCCTTATAACCACTCCTTACCTCTTAGCCCCTCCTCCTGGGTACAAAAGGTCCAACCACATGGTCCACAGAAGATTCCAGATGTATACCTGAAAGAGAAAGGTACAAGGTCAGTGACCTCCAGTACCAATAGATCAATAATAAAACTACAGAAAAGAATTGGAGTCTGTCTCTGAGTTATTGGGCTAGATCCAGCTTATAACAGAAACACACTGACATGCAAAACAATTTAAAAAAAAAAAAATCACCCTGCTCATTAATAAAACCTGACAGTTTGATTTATAGGTTATTATTGCAATCTTATGGTAGTGTTTTGGGAACAAGCTTCATTGAACACAGTAGTACATGTTTATGGTTTTTTTTTTTTCAATTTGGTTTGTAAGGGGCAGGGACATCAAACCCTAAACTTAAGCAAAAGCTATTCAGCCAACTGAAATGTAACCTTCGGTTTTGTTAAGAAACTAGATAACCCGTGCCTTTTTGGGTCATCATTTCAGAGATATTTCCTCACCAGATTTCTCAAGGTCTTTGACAATATGGAACTTCTAATGTACTGCCTTTGTTGGAAAAGTTAGGATATGTTCAGAGATGTATCTGCCTTGAAAGCAGCTCATATTGAACTGTACAGCACAATCAAGCATCAGTACAGGAAGTGTTGCATGACATTTTGTATTATGTCATAAACTGCTTTATGCAAGGGAGGGCGGGAAGGAGGGAGGGGGAGAGAGAGAGAGCAATTGTCAGCAATTTAGTTTAATGAAAAGAAGGACTAGGGGAGACATGATAGCAGTGTTCCAATACCTCAGGGGCTGCCACAAAGAAGAGGGAGTCAAGCTATTCTCCAAAGCACCTGAAGGTAGGACAAGAAGCAATGGGTGGAAACTAATCAAGGAGTGAAGCAACTTAGAACTAAGGAGAAATTTCCTGACAGTTAGAACAATTAATAAGTGCAACAACTTGCCTCCAGAAGTTGTGAATGCTCCAACACTGGAAATTTTTAAGAAGACGTTGGATAACCATTTGTCTGACGTGGTGTAGGGTTTCCTGCCTAAGCAGGGGGTTGGACTAGAAGACCTCCAAGTTCCCTTCCAACTCTGTTTATTCTATTCTATTCTATTCTATTCTTATTCTATTCTATTCTATTCTATTCTATTCTATTCTATTCTATTCTAAATTTCTATGTCCCATTGATTTCAGCATTAGGATCCAAAAGTAGTTTAAGACTAAATGTAAAGCATATTGCATTGGAAGAAAGTAGCAGTGAATGGAGTAAGCACATATAGGAAGTAGATATACAGTATACAGAGAGAGAAAAAATATAAATGAAGAAAAAACACATTAAATATTGTTCTGGATTGTTCTGTGAAATTTCTTATTTTTTGCTGAATAATCTCACTGTTTACAATAAAAGTAAACAAGTCATACAAAGACAATAGTTGAATTTTTCCATGGATGGGGTACTTGAAATCAATTTATTAGTGGGGCAGTAACAGTGGTGGGTTTCAAAAAATTTTACTACCAGTTCTGTGGGCGTGGCTTGGTGGACGTGGCATGGCTTGGTGGACGTGGCTTGGTGGGCGTGGCAGGGGAAGGATACTGTAAAATCTCCATTCCCACCCAACTCCAGGAGAAGGTTACTGCAAAATCCCCATTTCCGCCTGATCATCTGGGACTCGGGAGGCAGAGAATAGATGGGGGCGGGGCCAGTCAGAGGTGGTATTTACTGGTTCTCCAAACTACTCAAAATTTCTGCTACCAGTTCTCCAGAACTGGTTAGAACCTGCTGAAACCCACCTCTGGGCAGTAATATACTACGAAAACATTGACTCCAGTTTTTTATACTTGGGCACAATATAGTATTTAAAGGTTAAACTATATCATTTTTAATCATAAACCAAATACATGCTAATAAGAGTTTCCTGCCCCAGTTAGAGCCTTCTGAAGAACAACCAGATACTGTATATCTATGTTGAACTACACTCCAGGAACCAAAGTTTAGCCAGAAAATACAAAGAAGCACAGAACGATTTCTTCGCATCTGCAGAATTCCTTGGCCTAGAAAAAACAAGAAGTTGAGGTGATTTTGAAACTATTATCATAAATTAACTTTAGACTGCTTTTTGAAGACAGTGAAACTGAATCATATTTGCCACCATTTCCTTAACTTTTTAAACCTGGTATCTTATTATTGTAGGCTGCCAGTTCAAAATACTTGCAGAACAAAAATAACGCTTTTTGCTAACTTTATTTAATGATGACAGTAAATTCTATATTGAAAGATAATAAAGGGATTCAGCCACCAACTTATTTTGTTGTTTTTAATTTTGCTGAGTGACCTAAAAACCACTGTACATGCTGACACTGCTTTTAATTCCAGTTTCCAGTTTCCATTTTCAACAGCAAAGGAAAATCTGTCTCCTTATTAAACACACAATCCTCGTACTGTCTAATAATGCTACTGTTGAACTAATAACACTCTTTATATGGTCTTCTAACCATTCTTGCAACCAATTTTCTCCCTCTTTTATAAAAGATTTTTAATTTTTTAAATATCTTTTAGTATTTTATATATTCAAATTTTAAAATTGGTTTTAAATAGTTGGTGTTTTTAATTTGTCTGGGCCAAAACTATTCAATTTGATTTTAATTCTACTTTTAAATTTTGTATGTATGTGTTTTATTGTTTCGCTGTGCACCGCCCTGAGTCTTTCAGGAGTAGGGCGGTATAGAAATCAAATCAAATCAAATCAAATCAATAAATAAATAAATAAATAAATAAATAAAAAAAAAAAAAAAAACCCACAAGCATAACATGGAATTTTAATTTCATTCAAGATGTGGTCTAAAAATGCTAAAGAAATGAAAAGAAATAAGTTTTCAGATACATTTGCATATAGGCTCAGTTTCAGTTTTGCTCCCAATAGATCTACAGAAGATCTACACCAACAGTGTCAAACTCAAGGCCTGGGGCTAGATCCGACCGGCAGGGTGCTTAGATCTGGCCCATGGGGCCACCTTCGAAACCGCAAAGGACCGTCCTGCAGTGCTTCTGCCCAAGCTCCGTTTTCGCTGGCAGAGCGCTTGGGCCACCACAGGCACCCCCGAAACGAGTGACGTCGAGCTGGCCATGCCCCCCTTGCCCATGCCCACCCCAGTCCCCCGAGATCAAACACAATCCTGATGCAGCCCTCAATGAAATCGAGTTTGACACCCTTGATCTACACCAATGCCCTCAAATATCAGCTAAATTTCTGACTATCAGAAATGTCCACTGTTGCATTATAAACTAAGTTTGTCTATGACAAATCTAGGGAGACTAAATGTATGTCAAAACACTGTAATTAAAAAAGCCCAGTTCAAGTATGTCTACTTCATGACATTCAGCAGCTGCTTCTGTGACACTTGTACATTTGCCTCTGCTGGCAAAAATAAGTGGCTGACTTCAGCCACCTGTGCATTTTTATTCTCTCTCAATAAGATATATTTAGATCATTATTCTTCCCTGGGATCACAGAGAAATCAACTAAAGTCACTCTCAATTTCTGTGCATGAATTGGTTTTAACCTTTTCATACAAGCTGTTTTTTTATATATGGGTTAAATTACCATGCGTAGGCGTTGAAAATAGCAAGGAGCTGTCCTTCATTCAAAGTAATAAAGCTAAAGCTTACACACTTAATGGAAATGGTAATTCACAGATGCTATGCATAATAGCATGTTAATTTTTCCCAAGAATACTATTGCTAATAATATTTGTCCTATTCTATTGCACAGACACATTCAGCAGAATATATTGCTTCATTAACTTGTCCCCCATTTTGTGTTTGCCAAAATATCTGATTCCTTGGATTCTGAGCTAGGCTAAAAGTTCTACATTACTCCTCATTTTATTATTAGATTTCTCCTGCCTGTATTTTGAACAACTCCAGGTCATGTACATAATGCCTTCACCTCCTATTTTCCTCACAGCAACAACGCTGTGAGGTACGCTGGATTGAACAAGTGTGAGTAACTGGTTTGAAGCAGTGGTGAAATCCAATTTTTTTACTACCGGTTCTGTGGGCGTGGCTTGATGGGCATGGCAGGGGAAGGATATTCCCTCCCCACTCCTGGGGGAAGGCTATTGCAAAATCTCTATTTCCACCCCACTCTGGGGCCAGCCAGAGGTGGTATTTGCTGGTTCTCCAAATTACTCAAAATTTCCACTACCGGTTCTCCAAACTGCTCAAAATTTCCACTACTGGTTCTCCAGAACCTGTCCGAACCTGCTGGATTTTATCCCTGGTTTAAAGTCACCCAGCCAGCTTTCATGTCTAACAGAGGATTAGAACTCAGAACGTCCTGGTTTCAGACCAGCACCTTAACCAATACACCAAATTGACTCTCATAATGTCATTAGGCAAACAGAGCAAGTTATTCAAGTTACCTTTCAAATTGGCACTTGTGGTTCATCCACCATTTTACCCTCACAACTACACTACAGGAAGGTCAGAATGGGAATCTGAGTACCTTATCATTCAATTTCAGGTCAACTAAAGCCATGATTTTTAACACTGCAGCCACTCCGCAGAACAAGATGCGCTGCCAAACAATACATACTTGGTAATAATAGAAAAAAATGGATAATGCAACCAAAATGTAAGAAACATGAAACACAACAATTACATTGATTTTTGAGAGTGAAGGTTCATTCTCCGAGCTGGTGGATTGGTTTCTGAATGTTTCGTTACCACGCTAGGTAACATCTTCAGCAGAGTTTAGTGTCCCTTTCCTTTTTACACTCATCCAACACCCGAGCTACATATATTTGCCACTATTGCAAACATTGATTTTTTAAAAAAGAAAAAACACCAACTAGGTATTCCCAAAGACTCCATTTTAAGCAACATCTGGAACATTAAGAGGGATAGTGAAAGTCTTAAACCCAAAGGCAGACTACTCCAAGGGTAAAAAATGCCATACATTCCTATTGGAAAATGACAGAGAGGAGGAAAACATCTGGCTACCCAACATATGCACTCTAGATTAGTGGTTCTGAACTAAGGGGAGACACTGGGCACCCTGAGGGCCCTAGGGTATTTCAAGGGGGGCACAGGCAGTGGTGAAATCTAAAATTTGTTACTACTGGTTCTGTGGCCATGGCTTGAGGGGGGGGTAATGTGACTGGGTGGGCGTGGCCAATTTTTTTTTTAACTTTTAAAACCATTTTTTCTACAACCTCTTCGGCGAAGAGGTTGTAAAAAAATGCTTTTAAAAGGCTCTGACAATCCCAGCTGAGTTGCCTGATCGGCAGAGACTTTTTTTCTTTTAAATGCCTCTGACGATCAGGCAATTCAGCTTGGATCGTCAGAGGCATTTAAAAGAAAAAAAAGTCTCTGCCGATCAGGCAACTCAGCTTGAATCGTCAGAGGCATTTAAAAGAAAAAAAGGGTTTTTATCTTTTAAAAGCCTTTGATGATCCCAGCTGAGCCGCGTGATCATCAGAGGCTTTTTTTTTCTTTTAAAAGTATTTTTTCAGCCGAAGAGGTTGTAGAAAAAAAGCTTTTAAAAGTAAAAAAAAAAAAAGCCTCTGCTGATTGTGCAGCTCAGCTGGGCATCGGGCGGGGGGGCAGGGATTTTTGCTACTGGTTCTCCGAACCACCCGCTTCCATTGCTACTGGATCGGGCAATCCGGTCCGAATCGGGAGCATTTCACCCCAGGGCACAGGTGAAAAACATAAAACAGGTGGCAATGACCATGCCAAGGGAGACACAGAAAAGCAACATACTTATCCTCAAAATACTGTCTTGTTGATTCCAGAAAACACAGCAGTTATTATCCCAACTCTATATGGGGTCTGGATGTGGGGTGGGGAGACACAGGAGAAAAATAGGAAGTCGGACATAGAAGAAAAAAAGCTGAGAAACCCTACTCTAGATGTTCTGGACTTTAGAAACAGTATAGCCATTGGCAACATCTAGAGACACTGGATTGGCAAGGGCAACATTAAGCCCAGATTTACTTAATAATGGATTATTGAATTAATTCCCAAAAGTTGGCTTCACATCCGGTTTCCCACAGCGTGTTTGTTGAGGATACCAAATACATTAGATTTTAATTACTTTTATTCTTTATTGTATTTATATTATTCTCAGCGTTCCAGGAACCGTCTGTCCGAAGCTGGGTAAAGCAAACACACACACGGAATTGGCTAATACAATCCAGGGTTTAATCTCGGTTAACATGACGGTCTTACAGAAAACGCTGCCCCTGTGACTTCAGCTCAAAGACGGAGTTAGCTGGCTGCTCAGTTGCTGCGGTTTTATAGGCATTGTAAATCAGTTTACAGCTGTAGCATCTTTGAATATATCGCCAGCTCCCGCCCTTCCCATTCCAAGGCTGAGAATGCCGGTGAATGATGTCATCAGCTGTCGTCGCCGCTTTTGCTTCAGATTGCCTGGATTTTCTCCCGGATGTATTCTTGAACACCCCTTCCGTGCATGGGTAAGGTTCTTGCCATCAGGTTCATCACGTGTGTGTTGAGGAGATTTGCTACTCGACAATTATTGCTTATTCCTTATTGGTATATTATTATTGATTATTGCTGTTCATCTTATATTGAGTTGTTATCTTTGTAAGCCACCTGTAGTCACTGAGAGTGAGTTTGTGGGGGGGTCATATACATTTTCTTAAACAAATAAACAAACAAACATTGTAGCATTCAGACAGCAGTTATTCATGGGTGGTTTAAATACATAGGTAATAATAAGGTGATAAGAGCCGTGGTGGCACAGTGGTTAGAATGCAGTACTGTAGGCTAACTCTGCTCACATTGCCAGGAGTTTGATTCCTTCTATCCTAACAGGCTTAAGGTTGACTCAGCCTTCCATCCTTCTGAAGTCAGTAAAATGAGGAGGACCCAGATTATTGGGGGAAATATGCTGACTCTGAAAACCACTTAGAGAGGGCTGTAAAGCACTGTGAAAATATGTGTCTAAGTGCTATTGCTACTGCTAATAAAAACTATAATTTGACTGAAGAATCCTATTTTAAAGGGGAGAGGCTAGTAACGGAAGATATATATACTGTATATTCATGGTTGAGAACCTATAGCCTTCCCAAAGTTTTTGAACTTCAACAACAACTCAAACTTCCTATATCCCTCTTCTGTAGGGACCATGTAACAGTCCAGGTTAAATGCAAAGAATCTTCAAAAGGGAGCAATGACTTCCCAAAGCTACCCATCAACAGTTATCATACATAGAATAAGCAGACATACAGTACAATTACACTCTTCCCATTACGGTTTGACTCACTGTCCTTATATTCAAATAAAAGCATTTTTTTTTCTGAATTTGCATATGCATAAAACAATTACAATACATACATTTCATAAAATTTCTATTAAATTTTACACTTCTTTGGTGTTTAGGAGTGGGCCATCTGAAGGACCCAAAACATTGATCATATTGAAGTAACCCATATTTCAGAAATACCTTAGAAGAAGTGAAGGGCTTGTCTTTCTCCACAAAAGCATTTGTCCTTCTCCATGGAAGACAGGCAAAAATAATCCCAGTTCTGGCATCCATCTTCTATCATCAGACCACTCCCAGAATGAACAATCCAGAATCCTAAGCAGTAGAGTCCCATAAAACCGTAACAGTTTTAGCTGCTGTAATTTATACTGTGGTTTAGGTCTTTCTGGTTAACCATACTCCAATGTAAAATCCTTAGTACTTGAATAGTCAGTGGTATAACAAGTGTAATAAATAACTATATCCCCCTTCCATACTCAGGAATTTCTAAGAGTAGAAAGAGTACAGTGTACGACTGAGGTTGACCCAAGATTTGTCTGCAAGTTTTTTTTTTAAATTTGATTTATATGCCGCCCTTCTCCGGAGACTCAGGGCGGCTTACAATGCGTTAAGCAATAGCCTTCATACTTTTGTACATTTATACAAAGTCAGCTTATTGCCCCCACAAACTGGGTCCTCAATTTACCTACCTTAGAAAGGATGGAAGGCTGAGTCAACCTTGAGCCTTGTGAGATTCGAACTTACAGTAATTGCAGACAGCTGGTGTTAATCACAATGCTATCAGTCTGCTGAGCCACCAGGCCCTGAGCTGGAGGAGGAGGGGAAATAATGACAACATTGTCATGCCATCACAAGGCAAGAGTCATGATCCAGTCAGTGTATATGCTTTGTGACAATGCACGTCAGAAAGGAGTGGGACTTAAATAGCCAGGGTGTAATGCCATTTTTATCATTTTGATGAAAGCATCAGATGCTGCTGCCACCTTTGCTAGACACCTGAATTTACATGTAGATCTGCCAATACTTAATAAGGTACAACATTTTCCACTGGAATCTGGCTTCCTCCTCTGTAGGCTTCAGTCATGAACTAGAGGTTTGTCCTAATCCCAAATTCATCAGAATTGTTTCACTGAATTTCATTTTGCATTTTATGGGAACAAGACAGTATTGCGTTCTTACTAAATCAAACTAAGCCAGGATTTGTTGGATTATACTTTTTTAGTAAAATAGAACAAAGCCAAAATTATAGTTTATAAACTATGATGGTTGGCTTCATGCAATAAACTAAGCCAAAATCAAACAAACTACATTATGTTAACTACATTATGTTCAATGTCTTCTATGAACACAACAATAACAAAAGAGTGTATATTTATAATCATGAGAGATTTTTCACTGTTTCAAAGAGTTCTATCACCAAGGCTTCAGTATTTGATGTCAGGCTCCTTTACAGAATCATAAAACTTACTCTCATTCTCAAAGCAGGTAGTAATAATGTACTTTTGCTCCTTTTTCTATTCTGAGGGAATAAAGATACAATTTCTAATTGGAAACTTTAGTTCCATTAAAAGAAGAGATCTTCTAGGGGACACTTCTTCCATATTCAATTTTTAATGAGATTTTTTATTGTACACTTTAGGAGATTAAATACTGCTGAAGGCAAACCATTAACTAATGCAAATAAAATATTGAGGGGAATCTTGCTGCCAGAGGTCTTACAGTTCAAATAACGTTTATCCAGCTTTTGTTAGTGGGATGATTGGGCATTAGAACTGTCAATCAAAGCATTGTATAGCAGAGAATCTCCTCTTAGTTCTTATTGTGGAGTGAAAAGGAAATTGGGCAGAGTGAGTTTTGTGAGTGGTGGGTAGAAAGACGGGTGTGAAGGAAGCTTGTAGGCCTTTTGGAAGTTCCAGCTGTCAGAGTGACCAGCTTACAAACATACATTCAGGCCCGGTAAGGCAAAGTTTAACATCTCATACTGTAGGAGAAGAGATAGTCGAACCTGAGGGTGGAGTGAAAAGGGGGATCAGCCTAGAATCCCTACATAGCCACAAGAGAACCTAGTCCCCACCCCAAGTGCCATTGACCCTTATGACTTAGCAGGTACCAATATTTAGCTGAGAAGATTCCTGTGTATAGATTTTTTTAGCAATAAATCAGTTTAATTGGACTCCCATGTGTGGACCTGGTCTTTTGCACCTGACACATACATATATTTTAACAATCAGAATAAAGAGTTTATAAACCATTTTAATCCAGTGAATAAAAGTTAAATTCTTATTTGAAGATGAATAAAATGACTATCTATTTCCCATATTCCATTAAACACATTAAACACTTAGAGAGTCAGAGACAATGAAAAATTACAGGAGGGAGAGAAAAAATATCCGAACTATAGCAGGTTTTTGTGGTGTTAACAGAACCAATATTTTCCCCATTTTTTGTTGTTATAAATCTGGATATATTTAATTGTTTCAGTACCATGATATTTATACATTATTAACTGAAGATTATTGACAATCAGATAACTTAGAATGTTAGAAATAGGGAACAGGTGTTATTTCAATATACATTATAATTTAGGGTGTTGATATTATTTACAGATAATCCTGTAATTCACAAGTTCACATTCAAATATGTTAAACAGAATACAGAATAACAGAGTTGGAACAGACCTTGGAAGTCTTCTAGTCCAACTCCCTGCTCAGGCAGCAGATCCTATACCATTCTGGAGAAATGGCTGTCCAATCTCTTCTTAAAAACTTCCTGTGTTGGAGCACCCACAACTCCTGGAGGCAAACCATTCCATTGATCAATTGTTCTCATTGTCAGGAAATTTCTCCTTAGTTCTAGGTTAGATCTCTCCTCAATAAGTTTCCATCAGGTACTTCTTGTCTTTCCCTCATATACTTTGAAGATTTGGCTGACTCCCTCTTCTCTGTGACAGGTCTCAGATATTGAACAATTGCTATCATGTCACCCCTAGTCATTCTCTTCGTTAGACTAGACTTGTGATGGCGAACCTATGGCACGCATGCCACAGGAGGCACGCAGTGCCCTCTCTGTGGGCACGCTAGCTGTCGCCCCAGTTCAGCTCCACCACACATGCGCCTCCCACCGGCCAGCTGGACATCAGGTCTCTGTCACACATGCATGGGGAGTGGGGGGGCGCACATGCATGCATAGGGGTGTGGCATGTGCAAGGGCACACACATGCATGGGGTGGGCATATGCAGGGGGATGTGCACGCATGCACGGGGGTGGGGTGCATGTGTGGGGGCTGCATGTGCATTGTATTTTGAGGGTTTGCACACATGCACATGCATTCACATGTGCGCGTGCTTTGGGCACTCGGTCCAGAAAAGGTTAGCCATCATTGGATTAGACATATCCAGTTTCTACAACCATTCTTCATATATTTTAGCCTCCAGCACCTTAATCATGTTTGTTGCTCTTCTCTCCACTCTTTCTAGAGTTTCAACATCATTTATATATTGTGGTGACCAAAACTGGATGCAGTATTCCAAATGTGACCTTACCAAAGCGTTATTAGCCAGTACTAACACTTCATATGACCTTGATACTATTCCTATATTGATGCAGCCTATCACTATATCAGCTCTTTTGGTAGCTCTGCACATGCTGTTGGCTAATACTTAAATAGTTGTCCTAGATCTCTCTCACAATTACTGCTGTTGAACCATGTACCATCAATTTCATACCTGTGCATGTTTGTTTGTTTGTTTGTTTGTTTGTTTTGCCTAAATGTAAATCCTTACTTTTCTCACCGCTGAATTGCATTTTGTTGGATCGTGCCCAGTGTTCAAGTCTGTCAAAGTCCTCCTGGATCTTAAGCCTATCTTCCAAAGCATTGACTAGTCCCACCAGCTTGGTGTTGTCTGCAAATTTGATCACTTCCCCTTCTATTCCCTTATCTAAATACCACATCTAGTTGAAAATATTTTCTGTTTATTCAGGAGGCTTCTGGAAGGGCACACCATTTGTTTTATTTTGAAATATTGTTGTTTTCTTACTCTAAGACAAAACGGCCTGTATATTGGAAAGGTTTATTTATTCATTTTTATTATACGTTTGTTTGTTTATTATCCTTGTGATGTGAGTTGGGCTGAGAGAGTGACTGGCCCAAAGTCACCCAGCTGGCTATCATGGCTAAGGCAGGACTTGAACTCATGGTCTCCTGCTTTTTAGCCTTGTGATGTAACCACTAGATCATACTGGCTCTCTCTCTTTTTTTTTTATTAGGTTATTGTTATTACTAAATGAAACTGGAGGTATAGAAAAAAACTGACTTGGAAAATAAAAATATAAAGCAAGAGTCAAAATAATGAAGATACTTATCATTGACATAGCCTTTCACAGGGGTGAAATCTAAAATTTGTTACTACCAGTTCTGTAGGCATGGCTTGGTGGGGGAGGTAATGTGACTGGGTGGGTGTGGCCAATTTTATTTTTTTTTACTTTTAAAACCATTTTTTCTACAACCTCTTCATCTAAGAGGTTGTAAAAAAATGTTTTCAAAAGGCTCTGAGGATCCAAGCTGAGTTCCCTGATCGGCAGAAGCTTTTTTAAAAAGCCTCTGCCGATCAGGGAACTCAGCTGGGATCATCAGAGCATTTAAAAGAAAAAAACCCTTGTTTTCTTTTAAATGCTCTGACGATCCAAGCTGAGTTCCCTGATCAGGGAACTCAAGTTGATCGTCAGAGCATTTAAAAGAAAAAAAGGGGGTTTCTTTTAAATGCCTTTGACGAGCTGTGCGATCATCAGAGGCTTTTTTTTTTTACTTTTAAAAGCACTTTTTTGGCCGAAGTTGTAGAAAAAAATGCTTTTAAAAGTAAAAAAAAAAAAGCCTCTGATGATTGTGCGTCTTAGTTGGGCATGGGGGGGGCGCGGGCCACCTCCATCGCTACCAGATCGGGTGATCCGATCCGAACCGGGAGCATTTCACCCTTGGCCTTTCAGTGTCATTAAAGCAGCACAGTTTGGTCTAAAATGAGCTTCCTCAATCTGGAGCCTTCTATACTAAACAGATGATAAGTGCCCTTATCATTAACATGGGAAGCTTTGGATTTCTATCCCAGCTTTATCACTGATCCCAGCTGAGGAAGGTTAAGCCAGGGCAAGGAGAGGAACTACATTTATTGTCATATTCTAGAAGGCAGATTGGAAAAAAGAAAGAGAAAAAGAATAAAAACTAAATCTATGCATCATTTTGTTTAAGCCTGGCGCCAAAGTGTTGCCAGATGGTTATACATAATGAATTGGGAGCACGGTATTTTCCATTCTATGGTGTTAAGAGTTTACATAGCTCATTGGCTTTATTTTTATTTTTTTTAAGAAACTACTATGAATTTGCTTCCTCTGTACTTTTCTTCCTATTGAATCTTATCTATTAAACATGTAGATTATATATCAAATATGTCCTACCCACAAGTTAAACATATACACAGCATATGGCTCTGAATATTGTATGATCAGATGCAATCCTTGAGGATTTGAGAGATCAAGCAGCTCTTGTGTAATTTTTATACAGCTGGTACAGCTAATCCCTTTGCTTTCAACCTATTTATTGGGTGTTTTTTTTTCATCTCCGTCTATGTTTACCTGAGATATTTTTTTCATTCCAATCTAACGTAATCCACACAGTCCAAGATCATGCATACAAAACAGTAGCTTTTCATAAAAAATGCTGTATGAACTTTACAATATAATTTATGCCATTTATCACATTTAAGCCCTGTCTTTTTAAAGATCTAAAAGTGAAGTATATATATCTCACTCCAACTTAATTCTCGTTGCAAATCTGAAGATTTACAACCAAGAATTTAAAAGCAATTTGTTGGCTATTTTGTTTGGCATTCTACCACAGGTCTCTACAGCAGCACAAACACGGCAATTTTATAAAATTTCATGTAATCTTGTTGCAACAATAAAAACCAGTATATACAAAATAAAAGACTAACAAAGGAAAAAACAGAAGATGCAGAAAAGAAGAAAGAAAAAATAGAAATGAATGAAAGAAAAAAAATAAGTATATAATATAGGAAAAGAAAATAAATATATAAAATTACTTTTCTCTTCAATGTAACAAGTATAAGCAAGTATAAGCAATGTATAAGCAAACAGGGACATACTGTTGGGTTTATTTGATCAAAGTTAAAATAGATATATTATTAACATGTAATTCTTAATGGACTTTTCTGACCTCAGGATTGAAATTATGAGGTTCTAAATATTTGTTTTTTTAGATAAATGGGATATAGGAAGAAGAGATTATTTGTTGTATTTTAAAAGGAGATGGTAAGTGAAAATTGTTTATAGGAGGAAGTATTTTCTTTATATATTTTTTCTTTTTCTTCACTGCATTATTTTTCTTTCTTTTCTATTTTCCTTCTATTTCTTTTTTCTGCACCTTCTACTTGTATTCTTTTATTTTTTGTTTGCATTTTTAATTGCTGTGATTTCTAATAAAATATATTACTAAATAAGAGGTTCTCAGTCTCCTTTGTATTAATTTTCAAATATTGAGAATGAACATGTGATAAAAAGAAGGAGGCATCTGGATAATGTGAACTCTTAAGGAAGGCTACTTGCAATGTTAGTTGTAATGGCCATAGTAACCTAAGGAGGATTAGAAAGGATGCCCTCCGTTGTAGTGCATTTTGGAAAAGACCAAAGCATTCCAATCCTACAAATTCTTTATTTTATATATCTGTATAGTTTTTTGAGATTTTCTTCTTGAATCTCCTATCTATGTGAGACTGTGGGTATGGATGTATATATAAAGTACTTATTTAATCATTAAAACTATTGTGTGTGTGTGTGTGTGTATACACACATATATTATATTTTCCTTTTATTTCTGTGCATTGGCTTTGTTGTTGTTGTTGTTGTTGTTAGTTGCGAAGTCATGTCCGACCCATCGCGACCCCATGGACAACTTCCCTCCAAGCCTTCCTGTCTTCTACCATCCCCTGGGGACCATTTAAGCTCACGCCGACTGCTTCAGTGACTCTATCCAGCCACCTCATTCTCTGCCATCCCTTTCTTCTTTTGCCTTCAATCGTTCCCAGCATTAGGCTCTTCTCCAGTGAGTCCTTCCTTCTCATTAAGTGGCCAAAGTATTTCAGTTTCATCTTCAGGATCTGGCCTTCTAAAGAGCCGTCAGGGTTAATCTCCTCTAGGACTGACTGGTTTGATTGCCTTGCAGTCCCAGGAAAAATCATAGCCTTGACTATACGCACTTTTGTTGGCAGGGTGATGTACCTGCACTGATTTTATGTATAGCCTAATGAGAAATTAATTGCAAAGAATGATATTACATAAAGTAGTAAATATCTAGGTGGCCTTATGAAGAAGTGAAATGAGAAGCCCAAGAGATAAATAAGTAGAGGTAATATCCAAGATAGCGGAAAACATGTCTTATGATTTGTGGATTCCAGAAATGAATGCAGCTTGATTAGAAGCATTTAGAATTTAGTAATACTTCAGCCCATCCCCTGCCCCAACTGATTATCAAAAAGCAGGGTTTATTAAGAATATGTACATACTCTGCTCTAAAGCTGCAATACATCTCTACTAGTCCCCCCCCCCGTTCAGTGTTTGTAAAATATTGCCTGTAGAAATCCAAAGTATTTTATTCAGGTCACATTAGATCACACAGATCCAGAACATTTTTTTTCTTACTGTCAGATAACAGCAAAGGCTCTCCCATTGTTCTCTTCCAGCTCCTCGGGAAAAGGATATCAGATGGATTCATGGCAACTAGAGGAATCCAGTACATCAATACCATCCTGTAGGCTAAAAATCCTTATCACTGATATTCAGAAACATGGTATGCATGTGCATTTCCTAATTCAGAAGGAGGGAAAAAAACAAATGCTACAATATACATGGGACAAATTGTCATCATACATTATATATTTCAGCATATTTATCCTAGAATGAGAACAAGCAGGGGTTGAGTTTCTTCTCCCCAATAAATTATAAGGTGCAATTCTGATATACACAGAAGTCCAGTCTTCAAATATGAATCAGAGAAGGTAAGCCAGGGGTGAAGTTAGAAAGAAGGCATTCCTGTACTGCTTCTTTGAGATACTGCTGTATTGCTTCTAGAATTGGAGATCAGCTCATAGAGTTGGTGGAAAGAGAAAGAGAATTCAGTTTTAAAGAACCAAACCAAGGCAGAACAGCCTTGGAGGATTACGTTTAGGGACTATGATGGGAAGGCACAAAAAAGTGGCAAATAAATCTGGGTTGCTGTGACCCTTTAAAGATCACCTGCAACACTACCAACAAAATGAACAGTGAAGCGTATAATGCCTCCTAAGACATACATGAATACACAATGCACTTCTGAATTTTTTAACAGTATCCATTTATCTTTTACCTTATTTACAAATCATTAATGAGGAATCCAAACAGATTCAGTTTGGCAACTGCCAAATTTTAAAATTTAAAATTTAATTTAGAAATCAGAACTTCTAGCTTAGCAGAATACTAATAGCTAGGAAAACAATTAGGATTGTAATGGCAGAAATCAAATGCTAGCCTAAGTAATATTTTGATATAGTGATCTGTCCATAATGGAAAGTTTGCGGACACTACAATATCTATTATAAAATTATGAGGAGGAAGAAATTTGATCTAATATATGATAAAGTGAACCATTCTGATATGATTGATCTATGTTGTATGCATGTTGTTCGCATCTAGCTTAAGCTGCTTTTACACTTCAAGTTCATTTTTCTGAATATGCCTTTAAAAATCTGCAGTTTACTGAATTAAATGTGTACATAAATGTGCAGAAGCTACTACTAAGATAAAATATAGCACAAACCAGAACTAAACAACTTGACACTCTCATTAGCACAAATGAGATTTCAAGAGCTTAGAATCATGGAGATGACATCTCAGCATTCTGATGAGGATGCAAAACTGACCTAGGGAAACAGCAAGGAAGAAAAGATGCAAACACTAATTAGAAGTAAGCTATCAAGTAAAAAAAAGAGAGAAACCTAGCCAGCACGGTTATTACAGACAAGATATTTTTACCTATAATAGGAGACAGAAAGGTTATAGAGAAAAATTATGTCAATCCATTCAAACGATTCTAACTTCTAAAAAGACATTTGATATACTGTATTCTGAGCAGGACTAGCTTTAGGGTAAGTCTGAGTAGGCACTGGTTAGGCGGCAAAGCTTAGCGAGTGCCAGCATCATTCTTCCTTCCAAATTATTCCAAAAATGCACATTTTTGCATTGGCAGGCAGCGGTGTCATCAGCCAACAGCACCTAGGAGGGCCATGTACTCTTAAGCAGACACTGATTCTACTAGGGAAAGATGTAAAGAGAGATCTTTATGTCAAAGGGAAATATTGGCAGTGAATATTAATATTTATTTGTTTATTACATATATACCTCACCATAATGAAAAAGGATCCTCTTTCATTATGGTGATATACACTACATATACACACACATATATATGTGTGTGTATATATGTAGAACAACTTAGTTTACGTAGGTAAAACCTGGCTAGAAAGAATATGCATATATATATATATATATATATATATATATATATATATATATATATATAAAATATCATATTTTGCTGATAAAGAAATAAAGGGAGACTAGTATAGATCTATTTCAAGCTTTTTAGCTTTCACCAGCTAGCCATACCCTTACTTGGATTCAAACTTGGGCTTCCTGAATGTTAGGCAATTGAATTAACCTTTTGAGCCACAGGTTCTCCTCCCTTCATCAGCTTTAGCCAGGGGAAAGATTAAGTGTTTATCGAGACACCTGGTCTACCCCAACATGTGGGAGGGGGCATTCTGCTCCCTTTTGCCTTTCAGCTCCAATCCAGGAGTCTTCAAGCAGTCGCATTCATGACAAACCATTTTATACCATTGAGAGAAAGAATCTATCTAATGAAAAAAATGTATTAGCTATCCAAAGTATTACAATTTTCCAAAACTGATTGTACAATAATTATATTCACTATCCAAGACTGCAAACATGAATCCTTTACAAGAAAGAAAGAAAGAAAGGTCTATCAAATTCCACTTTTGTGACTAGGTGATTATTTTTATTCAGTAATGCTGAACTTGTTTCATCTCAGAAGTTAAGCAGAGCCAGATCTGGTAAGTACTTGGAAAGCATACTACTGGAAAAATCCCAGTACTGTTACTTAGAGTGAGATGCTGAAACATAAATCAAATGAAGACAGTGTAGCTTGTTATCAAGACAATAACATCTGAAGTCATCACAAATCAAACTTGACTCAAATGAGACTTGGCCTTACATTATTACATTTTGCTTAAAAAGTAGACCTGAAGTGTTGGCGAAGTTAGTTTCAGTAAGTAGCAGTAACTACTACTACTTATTCTTAGTAGCTCATCCTTGTTCATTTGCCATGCACTGATAATAAGATGCATCTGAGGATTAGCCCAGCAATTAAAGATCTTATTTTTATATAAACAATTTGTTTAACATATTTTTTTTTCAAAATTTGCTAAAAAGGCCAAATATATGGCCATGCATTATTGTTTTATGGTACTTAAAACAAAACAAAACAAAAAACCCTTCTTATATGTATCATTTCAAAAAATATATATCAGCGCAATATGACCTTACTGAAAAGATATCTGCCAATATTGTGTGTGTGTTTCCCCTGTTCTTGATTGACTAAGAACTTTTTAAGTCATACATCAAAGTCATTTTTGAAATGTTCCAGAAGGTTTGCTACTTGTAATTCTATTTACTAAGTAGTTCATGTGGCATAAGCTTTCATGACCCACCCACAAGTACCTATATTATAGAAGCGATATATAGCAAATCTATATGCATAGACTTCTGGATGGAGGTTGGATTGTTGAATAAATTCATTGTGGTTCAATTGCATTTTGTGTTTTGCACTTTGGCTGTCAGATACATATTTTATTTTTGTGATTGGTTCAGAGGTGGGTTTCAGCAGGTTCTGACCAGTTCTGGAGAACCGGTAGTGGAAATTTTGAGTAGTTCAGAGTACCGGTAGTAAAAATTCTGACCGGCCCCACCCCCATCTATTCTCTACCTCCCCAGTCCCAGCTGATCAGGAGGAAATGGGGATTTTGCAATATCCTTCCCCCAGGAGTGGGAAGGGAATGGACATTTTGCAGTATCCTTCCCCTGGAGTGAGGAGGGAATGGAGATTTCCCTCCTCACTCCAGGTCTTCCCCTGCCATGCTCACCAAGCCACACCCACCAAGTCATGCCATGCTCACCAAGCCACACCCACAGAACCGGTAGTAAAAAATTTTGAACCCCCCACTGGATTGGTTGTGTTTTTAAGCATTGTAAGTCACCCAGAATGACCATGGTGAAATGGGCAGCTATATCAATTGAATAAAAGTGGAGAGCTCTTGCAATTTTAAAATGATCTTAAGTAAGAAACCTTCCAAAAGAATTCACAATCCACTGTGCAAGCAACATGGAGAGGGTATTGTGGCCCCAGCTACTGGCACCTATCAGAAAGGGAATGTATGCAGCTTTGGGGAAAGGCTTATTCCTTCCAAAAATGCATTGTGTAAATGAAGGAGACTCCTGGATCTGGCAAATTAAAGGATAAAAAGCCAGAGCTTTCAAATGATTTTGTCTGGCATACCAGACAAACATCTGCTAAATTCACCTCTAAAATGAATAAACCCAAAACAACCCTCTTTATCTTATAATTCCCTGCTGTATTGGGAGACAAATTGAAATCAAGATGCAAAAATATCTGATTTCCTAGTTCTATAGGCAGTTACACTGTGCACAAAAATGCTTTAAATTAATATGTAGACAGAAAACAGACAAATAATTGAGCCATTTGAAATTTGAGCATATCGCATTTATTTGGCTGATTTTTATTTATGTTTGTTATAAGTGAAAAGCATTTCTGAGAAACCTAAGGAAACATGTCTATGTTGAAGGAGGATAAAAATTATAGAAGATGGTTGCTTAAATAAGTATGTCAACCTCTAATTGCGAAGAAGAGCTTTTACACTTACTTCAGAATTCTCTCTGTTTGGATTTCCATTATTAAAAGCAAAAATGTCTCAGTAACTAATGTTTTTGCTTCTCACATTTCTTTTCTCTCTCCCCCACCCCCCACTGTAATCATGAATAACACTGTGGTTCTGTAATTTGCTAACAACTGATTTCTCTCCTATATTTACTATACATCAAGCATCATTATATAACCCTGTCACATAAATAACGGCCCCATAAATCAGCTCTTCAAGAAAGGAAAGAGCAGCTGTGTGTTCTCTACCATCTCAACAAATTAAGTTTACTATTATAGTTCTGCTTTTAGGAATTGTTATATATGTCCAATTGAGTGTGTTAGGTAGGCTGGGACAGTGATGGAGAATCTATGGCATGTCTGTCAAAGGTGATACGCCATGACATTTTGGTGACACACCAGCATTCACCAGCATCTGACAGTAATTATTCTTGAAAGCACACCTCATTCTTGGGTGATTTTTGGAGGCTGAGGAGAATGCCCGAAAATAGGGTACAGGCTCCGGAGTCTCTGAAAAATAGTGCAAGAATAGGCTGTGCTTTCATACAGTTTTTGGGGGCTGCACAGAGGAACGTTCTCCAAAACTGTTTTAAGAACAAAGGCTTCATGCGATCCGGAGCTGCCTCAGGTAGGCCACAGGGCCCTGTCAATAGAAAGGAAAAATTACCTGAAGGTAAGTAATGCCTAATAGATTCTGGAGATCACACCACAATTGGACTGTACCTTTTTTAAAATGAATGACTATGTACAGAATGTTTCTCTTTTGGTGTGTGTGTGTGTGTATGTGTGTGTGTGTATGACACACCAACAGAATCAAGTTAGGCATTTTCTGAAATTTTGACATGCAAAGCCCAAAAGGTTCACCACGAGTGGGCTAGGATCTGCTCCGACAGATGAAAATTGTGGTTTTAGTAAATGGGTCTTACTGAATATTCAACCAATACAGCAAGAT